GTTCTCAATTTTGTAATTTCCTTCTTATATCGACCCTACTTCTCAACTTTGATTCGCATTCCGAATTTCAAGCTTATGGCTCTATCCGTACACATACTACGGAATTGTACCAAATTTAGTACATTTTACAGCTATCCTTCACTGCATCTGTAATCCCCATTCCAAATTTAAGAGTTGTAACTCCATTAGTTCGCCAAATACAAATGGTACGATATTTAGTTCTAGTACGAATTTTTAAAAAACCCAATATCGAATAATGACAGAACCAGACAATTTTGTCTTTTCAAAAAAGTTCCAAAATTTTAGAGTATCCAAATTCTCATATACAATTTGGGTCCTTTGGATTGGGAGACATTTTGGTTGCGTTGGTATATACAACGATAAACATTGTATGAGGGCCTTTGACCACTTCAATAGCACATTCTGGCAACAGTGAAAATTCATCATCGTCATACCAAGGTTTTATAATTTTATAATTTATAATTCTTCTGTCAACATTGGTCACCCGAAGAAGGGAAATAGGTAATATCATCAGTTGTTCAATAATGTGGCTTTAATGGTAAATTGGCCATTCCCAAATTGCGTTAAATTTATTTTATTTTATCGTTTGTGTTCTACCATACTAAAAGTCGATAAAATGCATTACTTCTCCTAGAAATATACACACATACATATTCATTGCACATCAGGCCCAAAAGGGAATGAAATAAAATTTGGTATCCAAATATTGGAATGAATAATAATGTTTAGCATTTAACAGACACACGCACATACACACCTCTCTCGCTTCGAGCCCTGCATGCTTGCAATTTATTTTGTTACACACATCACCTTCTGCGTATTTATAAACAATAAAAATCTCCACACATAAAATCGTCACAAAAAACGAAAATATTTTATTAAATACATGTAAATGTTTACATACCTTCATACCTTTGTAGATATTTTCGAAGTTCAACTCCATCAGGTCTAATTCAGTTTCACATATTTACACAGTTGCCTGAAGGTGTGTACATATTTACACAGTCCGACGGACATTGGTGTACACAGCAAAAAACGACCACGACGTCGACGACAACAGCAATAGCAATAAAACAAGGAATGTAATGGAATTCTAAACAGATTTCAATTAAAATAATTTACTTTCATATTCACTCTAAGCACAAATATGAAAATGATTATGACACTGCGCGAAGTACCAGGAATTGTCAGTCGGTCAGTCAGTTTGAGTAGCAACACAACAAAACATAAGAAAGTATGTCGAAATGGAATTGAAATTTTATGGATTTGTTCGATTGAAATGAATATTTAATTTTAAAGCGTACAACAAATCGATTATTATATTTTTTCTTAAGGGCATGATTAGGAATTAGTGACCCCTGCCATTTTTGCAACTAATCCCAATTTTGTTCCAGAAAATTGTCAATCGATTGTAATTGCAAAAAAGTAGACAAGGAATGAATGAGTTTTATTATAATCGGTTTATGGTAGTCCGTTTTATAGACGAAGGGTTAAAAAGAGCTGCTTTATGAAATAATAAATAATTTGATGATAAGGACGTGCTATATTGATTATCTTTGAAAAAGTTTCTTAATACGTATTGGGCAACATCAACATTACACAACAATTCAGTTGAGAGGAATAATTTTTGTGAACAGTCATAATTTTTGTGAACTAATGAGATGAAGGAAAAAGTGTGTGATCGAAGTAAATATAATGAGTAGCTTGCAATTCATCAGCTCATTTTAGATTTTGAAAGAGTTACATTTTCTCTGAGGACTAAAACGTAATTTTTTTTTTTTCAAATAAAAAGCGTTAATAGTATGTTGGGGAAAAATAAATCCTTTATATTTTTTGTGTAAATGGTTTAAAACAGTTTTATGATCGTTTTTTGTCTCCTGGACGGTCAACTGCGATCATTTCTCCGATTTTATCGACATTTTCGACAACCGGCCAAAAATTCCTGAACGGAATCTACAAATCAAAATTGCACATAATTGGCTGTTACAGTATCGAAACCATAAACACCATTCACAATTTTAGCCGCTTTGCTTGCATTTTCGCCTTTGTTAAAGAAAAATGTAAAATTTAAAGAATTTTCTCTTTGTTCACTTCCATTTGTAACACCCTGTAACTCACAGCTGAATGCACTAAACAAAAAACAGCTAAATAATTTTTTTTTTACTGCGAATTGTCACCCTTCCAACGATCATAAATCTGAAATTGGTTGATCGATACTTTACCAGAAATCTATCAGTACACCCAACTACCGAAAAAATAATGGATTTCTTTTTAAACCATTTACAATTGACCAGAAACGGCCAGAATTGTCCAACAGTAGAGGTGTCGTGTTCCACCAGGACAACGCTAGGCCACACACACATCTACAGTGACTCGCCAGAAACTTGGGAAGCTTGGTTGGGAAATTTTAATCTATCCGCCATACAGATCGGACTTGGCACCAAGCGATTATCATTTTTTTTTTTTGCATTGGAAAATTTCTTTAATGATAAAAAATTTGTATCTAGGGAGGATTGTGAAAACCGACTACTAGAGATTTTGCGTATCAAATGATTTTAAGTTGCCCATAAAGAAGTTACATTAAAATGGGATACTACGCACAGTGTCACAACCGCGGCCATAAATGGTCAAAACCAAGTACCACGGAGGACAAATTTTTTGATGAGGATTGATAGAAAATACTCCTATTAGAATAAATATGAAATTTTACATCGATATGTCGAGTAGTTTTGTCTCTACAAAGGTTCAAATCTGATAATTATTTATAAACTGATTTTTTTTACCATATTTTCGAAAAATGAGTGTGTTTTTCTGATGCTCAAATATTTGAATATTCAAATTAACGGTTATTATAAAAGTGTTTATTTTGGTTGCTGTATATGTAAAAACTAGGATTCGCTTTAGTTTGTATGTATATAGATATCATATGGTGTATACAGTCGTCCACACTTGTAGTACTTAGTTCATCAAATTTGTAAAACAAATTTGGAAATTAGTGGAGCAGAAAAAAAGTTTAAAAAAGGTTAGGTTTTTTTTTTTTTCTTTGAGTGGTGAGAAGTGTGTTATTTAAGGAATAAAAAAAATTAGCTGCGGAGCCCTGCGGTCCTAAGAGTTATTTAACTTTTTTGGTGACCACCTTATGAAAAAATATGGCATATTCACGAAATGGTTAGAAGCGAATATTATGTTATGTATACAATTAAATAAGTTATTGAGGGTCAAATAGGAAGGAGAAAATGGACTCAGAACATATTAATAATACAATATTTTCCATAAATATGCAATTAAGTGGTAAAAACGTTATTCGAAGCGGAGATATGGGAGAATTGGTTTTAAAATATAGCTTTTAAATAAATTTTCAGTCAGTTTGAAGATTATACTTATTAATCAGATCATTTGAGACATAATGTTATAATCTAAATGTAGAGGTCGCACTTGAATTACCTTTGTGAAAAGTTCATACAGAAAAATATCAGTTCATGGCATGGGATATGCAAAGTGCAGTACAATACCTTTTGAGCGACTTTCACAAGATGCTAACAAGTCATGCCAACAAATAATTAGTAGCAGCCCGAACTTTTGTTAAAGCCGAGTTAAATAAGGATTTTATTTAGTATTTTATATTACAATCCGACCTTGTAATATCTTAAACAGCCATAAAGTAAAGGCCCAGGATTATACTGTGGACGATACTAAATCGTACATTTGGGAAGACAATAGACCCTTTGTATGGGAGGTATATCAAATCTTGGCCCGGTCTACCCAGTTTTTAGTTCGTTGCTTTATAGGCATAAGTAAATGTAAATTGCCAATTTTCATTGAATTTGGTTGAATAATAAAGATTTTATAGCCCAAAATAGTAAAATTTTCAAGACCCTTTGTATGGAAGGTATATCAAATCTTGGTCTCGGTCTACCCAGTTTTTGATCAGTTGCTTTATAGGCCTAATTAAATGTAAATTGCCAATTTTCTTTGAATTTGTTTGCATATTAAAGATTTTATAGGCCAAAAAGGGTGACATTCTCAAGACCCATTATATGGGAGGTATACCAAATATTAGTCCGACCTATCCAATTTTTTGTCAGTTGCTCTTTAGGCCAATAAAAAGCACATGTACCAAATTTCATTAACTTACGATAACTCCTTCTATTTTTGGCCGCTGTTTATATGAACTCGCGACATAGTGCTACGTTCGCATTATATTACATATTGGTTTTACTTCACGGATCACCAGAAATAGTGGTCCAATCTTCCTCATCAACCCATTTGATCTAAGTTTGAATGGAATATAATGAATAAGTTTGGGCCAAATCAGTTACTTCCTGTTCGAATGTTTCTGAATCGACTCCAAATTGTCTGTAACCGTTTTTGTGCTAGCCCAAAGCCTGGGAACATAAAATACAAATTAAAAATAAAAATTAAATCATTTTGTTCTGTGTACATTTTCCATGCAATATATTTTGTTTACATTACAAATATTATACATTTTTATATACATGTGTATGTATACCATGTATGTTTATGTATTTGTTTAGCATTTAGTTTTTATATAAACGCAAAAAAGTGCAAGGAGAGCATGTATTGTCTTTACACAAAATAATAAAAAAAAAACAAACACACACACAAACAAAAAATGCTCCATTGTAAACATTAGACAAAAGTAAATATTTAAATTTGCATTATATAAAGTGTTGTCGTGTTGTTGTTGCTATTGCTGTAATCTACACAAAACTCATATGTTTTGGTCAAATCAAACAAACCAACAAAAAACGAAAGAAAAAACCCGAAAAAAACATTTGTAGCAATTATTAAAGAATAAAAGAATGCAGATATTTAATTTGTTCGGACAAAGACATATGACGAAGACTCATAAATAAATAACTATAATAAACAACTATTTGTTGATAATCTTTTTTTGTGTGATATTTATATTTGAATTTGTTGCTTTACCCTCTCGGCTCTGCTCTCTATTGTTACAGGTCAAACCCTCAGATCCCGCATATTTGAAAGTGTCTGTACACACAAAAGCCCACGGCTCTATTCAGTACAAAATAAAGATTTTGAAACAACTTCCATTGGATGAGCAAATATTCGTTCATGTTGTGTCGCCATCAACAATGCAGGATATTCAGGTAAGTCGAATTACTCGAAAAGATAATTGAAATTAATTTAATGAAAAATCGGCTATTAGTTGCGGAATTGCGAATACACACATTTTTGTACTATGTTCTTAAAAATTGAATAATTGATTAGTTATTTAGTTATTGATTAGTTATTTAACACTGTGACACTGTTATTTAACACTGTAACGGGTTCTGGGGTGTGGAAAATTCCTTATGGGGATAAATTCCCCATGGGGATATGGGGATAAATGCCCAGAATCCAGAAGGACAAATGCAAGTTATTGATGATTTTGTTGTTGGTAACTCCAAGGTGCATGAACAAAAGCTTTTATATAATTGTTTGCTAATACTTTATTATTTATTTATTGACATTTCTCAGTCAAATCGAATGAGGAATCTATAATGAGGATCTATAATACATATCCTTCCTCGATTTGGAGTCCTTGTACATCGTTGTCGTCCTTATTTTTTTTAACCACAAGACAAGATTTTTTCACTTCCAAATTCTACAAGAATGTCGCTCATATGATATTCGTATGTTTTTATTTTCGATGATTCCATGTGATTTGCAAAGTTTTCAGCTTTTACATGATATACCTATAACTTTAATCGGTTGATTAAAACTGGTACAAAAATCGGTTTCATTATCTGAAAATCAAAAATATAGCGATCCGAAAGCGTACGAATATCGATTTCACGTCTTTGGGAAACCTATAAAAAGTACAAGAAGCGATGCATTTTTTGTTTTGGAACCGGATCCAGATGATCATAATTGATTATTTTTAGTCTCTCTACAGACCACAATTAGGACCAGAGCATCTCGAAAAACCTCTTGTATATATCCAAAGTGGTGTAAAATATCATATAGTCGTCGGCACCGTCCGACATTTTTCTTTCTATACCCTTTACCACACTGTGGTAGGTAGGGTATTGTGTCTTTGTGCATATGTTTGCAAAATGCACAGAATCACTTTCTGAGTCGATGTATGCATATCCGTCCGTCCGTCCGTCTGTCCATGTTAAATTGTAAACAAAGTACAGATCACATTTATGATCCGAATTGGATGAACACTGCTCATTTATTTGGTGCACCAAAGACCGAATGGTAAGCCGATTGGCACAAAATTTTGCACCACGTACTGATATTACTATAAAAGAACGTGTGTAGAGTTGTGTTGAAATCGGTTCAGATTTGGATATAGCTCCCATATACATTGGTGGCCAAAAATAAAGCAACTAAAATTGCAAGGTTATTAAATGCCACTTGTGAAAATAATTTATCACAGAAAATTAATACATCAGTTTTACTGTTGCCGTTGTCATAGCAGTAAATATATATACCCATTTAAGAGTTCAACGAAATTTGTGAGGCGGTTATCGTTGGATATAACCTCAGAACAGAACGTGGCGAACTATCGTAGCAGACCTACATGTCCGGTGTTTTCGGTGTTTCTGCATGACAATAACCTCAAACATGTCAAAGATTGTTTGTGAGAGTCAAAAATCTGGGTTTATAATGAGATAAATTGGGTACATCTCTCTTTCGGCTGAAGTTTTTAATGTTCTGTTTTCGACAAAGATCAAAATCCGTATCAGGTCATTTATTGAAGCGGAAATGATCCACAGAAAATGCAGCTAAATCCGCGATATTTTCAAAAACATTTTTGGCCAAATTTCGTGTTTTTGGAAGGCCAGTTCCCGCCGTTCTACATACACATAATATATATCATACACAAAATATATATCAAATTACTCAGATTCGCGAGTACAATAATTTTGTAATCGATTATTAGAAATTCCTAAGTGCGTATTAAAGCTAGAAGTAAAATTCAAAAAACACTCAAAATCGAGCTTCAAAATGTCAGCATCATTTAAAGGTAGATGTAGTTAAAATTTTGAAATATTATACATTTTGTTGGCTTTTAGTTTTACTTTCACACGAAGACCGTGAAATGAGTAGCTTAGTCACAAATCAATAGAGAACATACAAAAACGGGTTCGCCTCAACCTGTTTTTATACACTTTTTTACATTAAAGTAGACACAGCTTCCACCCAAATAATGTGTGGAGGTCAATATCATGAAAAGTTTGCAACGACAGATCAATTCACCCAAAACTATTCACTTCTTTTCATATACTTAAGTAATTCCCGAGTTATAAAGGGTTCACCCCTCGGCTTCAGCTATTTTAAAAAATTGGCAATATTGCCCATATATATTACACCCATACATAATTTATAATGCGTTACTTAAAGATTCTTAGAAAACCTCTTCTTGTGTACATCCAAAGTGCTGTAAGATATCATTTAGTCAGCACCGTCGACTTTTGTCTTTTCCTTAATGTTTTGCTATAACGCTCGAATAAAGAAACAATTTGCTGTACGTGGGTTTTAATAGGCAGTATTATACTTTTATATATGATTTTTTACTAATCAAGTTGTCTATGCGTAAGTAATAATTATGAAATAATTATTAATTTCTCCGAAAATCATCTACACAATTTGTTCATATCCTATTTTATTTGTAATGTTGTTCATCGTGATTCTTTAAATCCCAAAGTTTTGATTAATATGATAGGGGGAGACATATCACCCCAATTCCAAGTTGAATGTTTTTTTTTACTTGAACAACTGTTACCAACTTTCGCCCAAGGTTTACTATTAAAAATGTTTATTTTTCTTATTTTTTTTATAAAATATTAAATAAATGTTGAAGGAAATCTCACTGTCGTTGTTCTTCTTAGAAATCAGAGAATGTGAAATTGTCTTGTAGTTGTTATGTAATTAGCAAAAAGACTTGTTATTTAAAAATTTAATGAAGTTAAAAACTTATTACAATGAAAACGAACAGACACATGACATATGTGTATGTGTTTGTGAGAGAGTATGGTGTGTGTGTGTGTGATTATATAACAGCATATTAAAATATTCATATTTTCTTATTTAACGTCAAGCAAAACGACTGATGTCGGAAACTTGGGTTTTATTTAAATTTTCTAGTGTTGCAATATTTTGAAAAGGGTTTTTGTTGCCGTAAAGAAAAAAGAACGAAAACCGACGACATTGTAGAGCTTCAGTTATTTGCATTGCAGGGAATTCGTTGATATCCGTATTGGTAGAAGCACCAACTCGAGGGAAATTTCCTTGAATCTGGATGCAGACACAGTTCCAATTTCCTTTGAATTTACATCTCTGATGCTGCTGCAGATATGCGCTCAACTGTTTGGTATTCCAATAGTTTTTGTTCAAACAGCGATAAGAACTTTATGAGCTGAAATTTGTATATTTTTTATTTGGCAGATTCAATTGTTGTTGCTGCCACAATTTACAAGCTAGCTGCACATGCAACCAACAGCAGTGCGGCTGCTGCTCTCGGCTCCATGCATGCCTGCCTGAATGGTTGGTTGGTTGGCTGTATCTTTATCCGATTTATATACCATGTATTTGTCTGTTGGTCTGTTTAAATGTATGTGCGAGTGTGTGTGTGTCTGCGTGTAAATATCTTAAAATTACATGCAATATTATGTCTGTGTGTATGTGTTCAGATACATACATACATGTTGTGTTGTAAATATTTTCATGTGCATGTATGTACAAAGCTTAAGAAATGTAGAGTGCGTGCTCACGTTTTTTTCCTTTACAAACAATCATACACACAAACTCACACGTACACTTACACACCATCCTTTCATAACTTTTCTACAGTTTTTATCCGTAAAATTCGAAAAAGTTTATTATAAACATTTTTGTTAACAACTTTAATTTAAACTTATTTTAAACTATTTCCGTGTTTCTACACTTCTAATTCGATTCTGTTTTGTGTGTGTGTGTGTGTGTGTGTGGCCGAAGAAAGATTTGACAGTGTTTTGAAGATGGAGGTATTTTCTGAAGAACAATGTTACATTGTAAACGAGTATGATAAAAATAAAGGCTGTAATTAAAAAAAAAACTATATTTTTTTAATTACATTGCAATCATTAGTCCGGTAGCTGGAGCGACTGCATTGTATTCAATTTCCATAATTTTATGATTTTTTCCAACTCGATAAGCAAACTGAGGATCCCCGCATTGTCGTTTTTCATATAAAATGTCTATTGTGTCCAATATCGCAAGCAAAAAATCGTAAAGTTAAAATTCGAACCGATCTGGCTGTACGGTGAAATATTAGTTTTTGAAATTAAGCGATACGGATTGAGCCAATTTGACTCATTTCATATTTGATAACTACATTCGAATATGTTCTAGATTTGGTAAAGAAATATTACATTGAGCCAAGTTCTGGTCAAATCGGATACTCAATACGCTTCGTTTTAGATTTGAACATGTTGAAAAATTTTAACCCTTTATGAGGGCATACTACAGCAGGGAGAATATCTTACTTTACTTAGCTGGCTTGTTACAGAACGGTTGTTCCATAAGCAGAGCTTAAAAAATATTTCCAAGCGCGTCGGTCTTGTGCGCAAATCCATCAATTTGGAAGACCACGTTCCAATATGTTGTTTTCTACTTGGTCTTTCCATCTAATTCGTGGCCTTCCCCTTCTATGGGAACCATCAGTGGGCTCATTTTTATATGCGTTTTGAGCTGGGGCATTTTCATTCATCCGCACGTAGTCGCTGCAGCTCAATACGACTATGTCGATGGCCGCGTATAAATTGTAAAGCTCGTGGTTCATTCGACGCCGACATTCACCGTCGACGCAGATCTTTCGAAGAATTTTTCTCTCAAACACCCCAAGAGCTGCCTCATCTGCTTGCGCAAGTACCATGCTTCTGATCCATATAATAACACGGGTAGTATCAGCGTCTTGTAAAGTGTGAGTTTGGTATGGCGGGAGGTGGCCTTGTTTCTAAACGGCTTGTCCGAATTTCAAAACTGATGTCATTTGTTTATTTATGGCGGTACCAAGGTATATAAAGTCTTTAACTACCTCGAAGCTGTAGTTCTCAAGTTCCACAGTAGGTCCGAGTCTACTGGACGTCTTGCGCGTTGATACCATCAGTTTGGTCTT